CCCCAACACTAGCATTCTGTGAGAATATGCCATCCTTGGCTCCAGCCCAAAGGACTGAACAATAACAAGGCACTCAATATCAGATCAGTCATTGGTTGCTCCGAGCCACCCGATCCTCTGCCGCTCCATTTGGAGCCTTCCAGTTGCCGGGAGGACTTCACCAGATCTCCCGGAGAGAGGTCTGGAGCAGGGGGCTTTCGTTTTTGGCCCCTTCCGTTCTGGCAAGACGGGGGGGTGACCACTTATTTGCCCCGAAGCTGGAGCGGCATTTGGGATGGAACATGGCCACCATGTTCCAGATAGCCGCAGCCACCCTTTTTTAATAAATAACGAATGGATTAAAACAACTACAGCAGTATAAGAGAAGGAACACAAAAAAAACCTAACTGTGAGTGCTTAAAATCAACGAGAAAAGAAGAGTGGAAGTGAAAGTACCCTGAACTGAATTGCTTGGAATGGAAAGATATAGCGGCCAGAAAACATACTGGAGAGGATGGACTGTTTCTGTAAATTTATTTTTCTACAGGGGAACCTTGGTGACAATCTCGCGTGAGGCTACTTAATAGATTTTGGAGGGAACTAAAAGACTCTTTAGACTGGAATTATTAGTGATTAATTTTAACGGGACAATTAAAATGGCGTCCAATGCAGGAGAGGAGGAAGAGGAGATACATGAAAATGTTTTGGTAGAAGACTTATCGATTGAACAATTAAAAAAAATATTGAGGGAAGCAATTCAGAAAGGAATAGAAGATCCCTGTGCAAGTTTATTGGGTAAAGCTAACAATCTACAAGCTGAACCAGAATATAAGGAGGAACTGGAACAATCTACTAAGAGCCCAAAGGAAAGTGGGGGGTGTCTGCAAAGAAAAAACTAGGTTGAGATTTTGCCCCCTTCTTTCCCACCAACCCAAGTATTGAGAAAGAAGTCAACAAACATGAAAAAAGCAAGGATGGGAATACCAACAAAGTGTGTGCAAAACAAACATTCTAAGAGAGAAAAAGGCTGGAAATACAGAAAGGAAAGACTGCGTAAGTGGAAATTTAAAGGGGACATTACAAAAATGGAACATGATTTGCTGAGAGTTAATGGAAACAGATTGGAGAAAATTTATCATACATTCAAGGAACGGAAGCATAGACACATGTTGCTACGAGGGAAAAGGCTACAGATATTTAGAAGGAGAATGAAGATATATGGAAAGATTAATCTATAAATTTTTGTGGACACTTGCTCAACGGGAAGAACCTGATTATGGAAAGTTTATAAAAAGTTATAGTGGTTGGTGATGTAGGGGGGTGGTGATAATAGAGGGTGAAGATAATGGAAGGGAAGGTTAAAGGCTAAAATAGTAAATAAATGTGGAGATGAAAGTTTAATGGAAATTTATAAATTGGATTTAGACAGGGAATATTATATAAATTATAATTAATTCATGTTTAGTAAATAATTAGGTGTATGTGTAAGTGTGAATGAATGTAAAATGTGGAAGAGTCTGGAAAGGTGTTGAAAAGTGATTAGTTAAAGCACTAATTTTCAATGAAGTGGCTGGGGATGAAAATAAAGGTATATAAGAAATTAGTAAAAAAAATGAAGGGACGTAAGGAATATTACAATAGTAAAATAACTGTATGAAGAAATACCTCAGAGGGGGCGGATGTTAATTTTGAAAATCCAAGCAAGTGGAGAAAATGATAAAATGCATACAAATAAAATAAATTCTTACAATATATATGTTTATATTAAAAATAAGTCATTTATAGCTTATTGGATTAAATGAGATCTATTAGAATGTAGTTGTAGTTGTAGTGAGGAATGGTTAGGTGACTCCTGAGTAATGGATGGTTTGAGATGGTTAAAATTTGGCACCAAATCAGATTGGTGGTATGGAGTTTGATGAATGCCATATGTAGAGATTAGTACTCAGTGGTTGACTAATGGAATGAATTTGGGAATACTAGAAAATTTCTTATTTGATTTAGTTGCTGTTAAAAGTATTTCTGGTTGATATGTCAACTCTTTTTTTTTAACCTTTTATTTATTTATAATCACAAAACAATATATACCAGACATGTCAACTTTTGATGATGTTATTGTCTATAAGCTATTATGTTACTGTTTATAAATTGGAAGCTCAATAAATATATTATAAAAAAATATATCAGATCAATCATTGAAAGGAAATGTCATTGTTGACATCTACTTTTGCTTTATTTTTTAGGTCATTCACACAAAGCATGTGTCTCAGGAACTCCCCCTCCCCCTCCATTTTATGGGTAGAACCAGAATCTTAAGGCTTCTCCCATTCTCTGTTCAAAATATAGCTGATCTTAGTTTATTGGCAGCCAATCCAGAGAATTCCTGATTTGGGGGGAGGACTTCTCAGAGGATTGAGGGGAGGGGGCATCATTTGGATGCTCTTTATATTTAAAGGCAGGTTAAGAGTGGTTTGGTGACTCTCGTAAATGATCCACTCTGGAACCAGCAGCTGAATGAGGATTGGCAAAAGCCCCAGGCAGGCCGTGAGATTGTGGCTAGAATTGTGTTTGTGTAGTATCTCAATTATTACTTTTACTATTTAGTTAGGTGCCATACAGATACTCTCAGAAGGGGGGGAGATTAAGGGTTAGTAACGGAACAAAATATGCAGTGCAAGAAAAGAAAAGGTTATGATGGTTCTGGCGAAGTTCTTCCAAAGTGGGTTATGATTAGAAAGTACTTGATGGTGGAAAGTGCTGTCAAGTTGTAGCTGACTCGCAGTAACCCTGTAGGGTATTCAGGGCAACAGATGAACAGAGGTGGTTTACCATTGCCTGCCTCTTGTTAAATATAGCAGTTCGAGTTGTGGACTCTCACTGCATGTGAAGTTACTGCATTGGCAAAGTGGCCATGTCTTTCAAGAACAAACCATGCAGAGTGACAGGTTTAAAATGGACCATATTAAAAAGTTCTTTTTGTAGTGACTGCTTTTGGTTATCTTACAACTGTAAGTGATAAATAGGAGCATCTGTGATGCCATTTTTACCTTGCCCTTTAATATTTCTTGGGATGATACTTAAGATGATATTAACTATTCACTACTATTTCTCAGGGAAAGATTTTTAGAAAAAAATGAAATACATGTCTTTTTTCCCTCCCTGTAATCTGAAGATGATATTGGTGCCCATATGAACGTTGGAAGAACTTACAAAAATTTAAACAGAACCAAAGAAGCTGAAGAATCCTATTTGGTTGCAAAATCACTGATGCCACAGGTAAGAAGTAAAATAATTTGTAAAAAGCAGTTAGTTTGAGAACTTTCAGTGGAATAATGGGCAGTAGCATTATAAAAGCAGCATATAATCTTTCCCCCTTCATATTAGCAGTTTGGAACAGCCACAGTATCCTGACTTAAAAATATCTGCAGAACTTTTCTGAAATTTCAAAGAACATGTTAAATTACAGTTGTGATATAGAGTGTCAAAATGTATCAAATTGAAATGAAAGGTGGTAGCTCTGAGCATGAAGATTTAGCTTTCATCTGCTTTGCTTTTTATTTTTTATGAATTCATTAAGCAATATGACGAATCTCCAACAAACGGAGTCCCTGCAAAAAAAAAAAAAAACATTAAACTCCTCTACTTTCCTGTTTGCTTTCCTCAATAATTATGTGGCCCAGAAACTTCTGAAGTATAAACTTCTGAAGAATAAAAGTCGTAAGTGGTCCTATGGCCTGTAGGTCTTGCATTGCTTGCCTCTTCAGTAGAATATTTGCTTTTTGCACTAACAAAAATGTGCCTTCGATTCAAAATAGCTTTGTTTTGTAGACTTTCTTTGGGGGGAAGAAACCCCTGTTCACAAGAACCTGTTCAGCATAAGTTTTTGTAGCTGTACTTCAGTGCAGTTTTGATTTAGTAACCTCTAGTTGATATCTGTAGACCTGATGTAGTTTTTCTGCTGTCAGATTATTCCAGGAAAAAAATACGCTGCACGGGTTGCTCCTAATCATCTGAATGTTTACATAAATCTCGCAAATTTGATTCGAGCAAACGAGTCTCGCCTGGAAGAAGCAGATCAGTTGTATCGCCAAGCAATTAGCATGAGGCCAGATTTCAAACAGGCATACATAAGCAGGTACCTCTATATTCTTAAACGGAACTCTGAGCACACAAAACTTGTTTCTCCAATGGTTCTCATTCCCACAGCATCACAGTTTTGCTTCTTCGTTCCTTGGCTTCATTGGTGCGGCTCTTCTTCCCGATGGTTCTTAAACCTTTCAAAAGCCCAAGTCCATGCCTAATACCAAACCGGCACAGGTTCCATGTAATTCATGGCTTGCCTGATTACCAGCAACCAGGAAAACTTTTGGATGCTTGACCAACCCATCTAACAGCTTCTGTGTTGGATGCCTATAGCACTTGTAAATACCATATGGTGGCTGAAGACCACTCCCCCCCCCAGCTTTATTTGCAAGCTGCCACTTTTTCCATCGCACATTAACTCTCAGGCCTTCCCAATTGAGCACCTGGGAATTGTTGGTAGCATTACTCAGATCTATGTTAATGTTGCTGTATAATGTGGACTGCAAGATAATAATGTTTGCTAAGTCCCAAAAAAGTGGTGGTTTGGTGGAAAATGCTCACAGAGCCACCTCTCCCCAGTACCTTAGCGGTATTGTGGCAGGTCATCATGGACAACTCTTTTTCATCTGATGGAGCCTGTTAAATGCCTTTTCCAGTCCCCAATTGCCCTGCTATAACAAGGGAACAGTGGCCTTGCTAGGAAAATGGTAATATATCCTCAAGTATGATACATTCTGACAGTAGCCTCTGGCACCTAGTTATCTTTTTTTCTAGGGCGTATCCCAGACATAAGATACCAAACAATCCAGTGTTTTATCCCACCCTTCTACCAATGAGGAGCTGGTGTACAAATCTCCTCCCTTCTTCCTTTACTGTTCTCACCCTGTGAGGTAAGTTAAGTTGAGATGGTGACGCCCAGTGAGATTCTTGACAAAATCATTTCTTGAACCTGCTCTAGTGCAACTAGACCTGAACCACACTTCACACCATGGCAGGAGTCCTTCACTGATGCCCTCCAAGTGTTTGAGGAAGAGGTACATGTTTAAATCAGTAGGCAGCATAACCACTTACAGTTTTGATTCCCTTTAGGCATATTACCAGGGACATTAAAAGTAGAGTTTCCTACCCCTCATAATTGGGGCTCAATTCCAGTCCTTTTTGGAGGACTAGGAATGTATTGCTGTAGACTTCCAGTCTTGCTTCAGAGCTGGTTTTCTCCTGGGCACAGTTTAGATAACAAGAAAGAGGAGTTAATGGGTTAGGAATGTACTATTAAAAGGGCCAGTTCGGTGTTACTTCTTCCAGTCAGCTATAAGAAAAGAAAACAGAAGAGCCTTGTGGCACTTGAAAGGCTAAATTTCCCAAGAAAGACCCCATGTGAGTTGAACAGCAGAGCTGGATGACCCTGCTGAGCTTCAAGGAGCTGGGCAAGCTTCAGCCCCTGGAAGCCAGTGCTCGGTTTGCTTGACACTGGCCCCTGCCACACGGGCAGGAAACTGCAGAGGAGAAGTGTGGCTGTTTGCCCCGGGGCAAAATAACATGCAGTAAAGCGATCAGACCTACTGTGGAGGTTCTGTGGAGGTACTGTGGAGGTTCCATGGCAAGGGAGAGGTGCCGATCACAACACACGCCTGCGCGCAATGAAGAAGCGCGCGGCGCGGCGAACTGGTTTTCTTTTTTTGTGTACACTACGAATGCGCATGCTCCGTTGGGTGCGTGTGCGCATCCACGGAGACGTCGGGAAAAAAAAACCCTTTTCCGCAAGGGGACATGGGCGGGCGCCGGATACCACCGGAAACGCGATCAGACGCCCGCCCTTGCCCCGCAGTTTCTGGAAACTAGTACCTCCAAGGTACTAGTTTTTTGCTGCGCTTTTTCGGCAGGAAGCCTCAGTTGTGCCACGGAAGCGCTACGCTTCCCAGATGTGCTGGTGAGATCGCGACCGGAAACTCCGCTTGTCTTCCGTATCTCTTGCGTGGCTAATGTTGCGTGTGACCGCAGCCACTACGTGTTAAATAATACTGTTTGCAGGGACTTAATGAATCCCAGTAGGAAATGGAATGTCTTGGCAAATTATTTCATTGTCGTTGCACCTTTTGTTTCTTACCTAAGCCATGAACAACGTTTAGAAGACTTTGAAGGAACTCTTCCATAGCCGAGTAGGGCATAAAGACACATTTTAAGAGTTCAGATCTTTCTTATAAGCAGTTTGGGTTGTCTTTTTCCTTCCAAGATACAGAATTCTACACCCTAGTTCTTTCGACTGTCCACACTGAACGTTTTTCTCCAGGCATAGTTAAATGAGCACATTTCACCTTCCAGATGGCACTTTAAACAAACAAAGATTTTTCTTTGAAAGGTTTTGTTTTTTAAACAGTTCAGTGATTGCTTCTGCCAGATTTTCAACTGAAATGAAAGTAAACTTCAGAAAAAAGGGAAGCAAATCTATTTTGGATTAACAATTTTGTCTTAGACTGGTAGAAAGCAAAGTTGGAGAGAGTTCATAGGAGGAAACTCTCCATCATGTCACCTGAAATGGTAAACATCACCAGGAAAATTCATTAAAGAAAAAATACAGAAAGTCCATAATTAGAAAACCAACATGTGGGTTGCGTTTGGCATGTGGAGAACTGGCAAGAGTATTAAGAATTTTAAGAAGAACTACAAGAAAACTCATAGTGTGGGAAACAGAAAAGCTGTTCTTCAGCCAGTGGGGTGTAATGGTTAGAGTTAGACTATAGGACTATACCAGGTTTGAATCTCTACTGTACTTGCTGCTTGACCTTGGGCCAGTCACATACACTCAACCTAATCTTTCTCATATGGTGGTTGGGAGTGTAAAACTGAGGAGAGAAGAATTACGTAAGCCGCTTTGGGTCCCTATTGGGGAGATAGGCAGAGTACAAATGAATAAAAAAATATTCAAACTGGGAGATCAACTGTTCATAAAATCAAGTCCAGCAAAGAAAACTCCTGATTTGTATGTGCAGTGTGATCTGAAATGGAGATTTCCAGCAAAGTGGCTGCAAGAAGTGTCTGAAGAGAGTGGTTAAAATGTGGAATTTGCTACCAGAGGATGTAGTGATGGCCACAGGAGCAGGCATCTTTTAAAGGGGGAATTCATGGAGGATAGGTCTTATCAGTGGCTATTAGCCATGGTGACTGAGGGGAACCTCCACATTCAGAGACAGTCAGCCTCTGAATCCCAGTGCCAGGAGGCCTTGGCTTCTGTGTCCTGTTGTTGGTGCTCCAGAGGAATTGGTTGGCCACTGGTGTGATCCAGCAGGGCTCTTCTTATGTTCTTAAGAAAAGTACATTTGTAAACTGCTGATGCTGCCATCTGTATTTCAGCGTTGTGTGCTGCTCTTCCCTCCCGGCACTTTCTCTGACCTGTTGTTAATGGCATTCTGGGTTTCTGTCTAGGACAGCCTTAACTGAAGTCCTATATGCAACAGTGTGTCCTTTATACTAGGAAGGTCGTCTAGAAAAGAGTTTTACCCCCTGCCCAGCAGACTGTGAATTGACATTGCTGTGGAGCCAGCAAAAGAGGCATGTACTGCAGAGTTATTCCTGCACCTCCTTTCTCTGACTCCTTGTTCTCCCATAGCACAACTGGCACAGCACTTTCAGTTCTATATGCTGTTTGCACCAAATAAATATCAAACAGTAGGTAGATGAGTGTGGAAAAATAACTTTGATTTTTCAACAGGGGTGAATTGCTTCTAAAAATGAACAAACCGATGCAAGCTAAGGAAGCTTACCTTAGAGCCCTTGAGCTGGATAGGAGCAATGCAGATCTGTGGTATAACTTGGCAATTGTTTACATTGAACTGAAAGATCCAACCGAAGCTCTGAACAACTTCAACAGGGCATTAGAACTCAATCCCAATCATAAATTGGCGCTGTTTAATTCTGCACTGCTGATGCAAGAATCTGGTATGTTGGTTCAGTTACAGCTCATGTGTATGTCAAGTATTTTATAACACGCTGAGGTCAACTACTTACTTTTTGTATTTGCCTATAGAGTACATGAGTATAAGATGTACCTGTCTTTGAAGGGTCATATTGTAGGAATCTACGTATGTAATAGTAAAGTCTGGCCTCCATCTGTGGATATCTCAGTCTGCGGATCAGAGCCACTTACACTAAACAGCTTATTCTGCAGACTTGGGGAGGGACCCCCCAAGTTTTCAGAAAAATCTGAAATCGCAAACAAACAAGACATAGGTGTGGTTAAATTCCCTCCACCCAAAAAAGCACTTGTCTGCCCACGCACAGCCAACACCTTTACCTGGTGAGTCAGTGGCCACCACAGTAAGGAGGCTCTCTGGCTGCTGCAGTGCCAGAGGACACCGAGAGGCTCTCCAGCAGGCCCAGCCACTGTGAAGTCAGAGGATGTCAGGGAGCCTGGAGCTGCACCTGGCTCAGCCATAGGGAAGCTGCTCCAAGCCCAGAGCAGCTTCCTGACACCACAACTGCCACAGCATCCATGTACATGAGTTTCAATATTAATATGTATTTGTTTTCTGCTGAATTTTTATTAAACACAGGCAGATGATATGCCTAGGATTTATTTATTAACGTATATGGTAAAGTCAGATTAATCTCTTAATTGCAGTGGTGACACTATGTGCTAGATTAGCTATCCAACACATAGCTAAGGTAGGCTTTATCCTGTATTAAAAATGGATAATATTTTTATAAACGTTGTCTTCTGTCCCATATGTGTGCATATCATACCTTTGAAATTCTTATTCTAAAAATAAAATTCCCCCAAGAAATATGGGAACTGAAGTTTTCTGAAGACTATGATGATCTTGCACATCTGCAGTTTTCAGGTTTCTTTGGGACAAACCATGACAGTCAAACAGATCTTAGAAACATTTAAGGCCTATAATTCTTGTGTGTCCTGAACCTACCCATTCAGCAACACGTCAGCAAGGGGCTGACGTGCACCAGTTCCCCTGTCCCCTGGGAAACCTCCACCTCCCTGCCAGAGATCTTCCAGGTGGTCCCCCAGGAGTAGCATTTCAGGGGGGGTCCTGTGAGGGGAAATCATTGAAAACCCATGGGAATCTGTATGGGAATCCAATCTTGTGTGTTTAATACAATGTTTTCTGCCTTTAGTGTCTTTTGCAAAGTGACCAAAATTGTGAATGCTGTTCTAGGTTAATATAATGCTAACTGAAATAGTGATCAATTTTGAAGATAAGCTAATGTACATACTTGTATCTATGCAACTGAAGGAAAATCTCTAATATATCTTCCATTGCTGTAGGTGATGCTAGACTGAGGCCTGAAGCCAAGAAACGGCTTTTAAATTATGTAAGAGAAGAGCCTCAGGATGCAAATGGCTATTTTAATTTGGGTATGTTGGCAATGGATGACAAAAAAGATGCTGAAGCAGAGACTTGGATGAAAAAAGCCATAAAGCTACAGGCTGGCTTCCGAAGTGCTTTGTTCAATTTGGCACTACTTTATTCTCAGACTGCAAAGGAGTTGAAGGCCCTGCCAGTCCTGGAAGAGCTGCTGAGATACTACCCTGATCATACCAAAGGTTTGATTTTGAAGGGAGATATTTTGATGAACCAAAAGAAAGATATCAGAGGAGCTAAAGAGTGCTTTGAAAAAATTCTGAAAATGGATCCTAACAATGTACAAGGGAAGCACAATCTTTGTGTAGTGTATTTTGAGGAACGAGACTTATTAAAAGCAGAGAAATGTCTGGTAGAGACACTGGCCTTAGCCCCGCATGAGGAATATATCCAGCGTCATTTAAGCATCGTCCGAAGCAAAATTGCATCATTTGGTACAGGGGAAGCCTCTGTGATTCCCACAGGAAAAAATAAAGCTGCAGAAGGGGAAAAGGCCACATTTGTAAACTTGAAAGAGGTAAAAAATCAACAGAAAACCACTCAGACCCCAGACAGTAATAATAAAAACAAAGGGCAAAGAAAAGCCAAAAAGCACGAAGAGAAAAACAACACAGACAAAGAGACAAAAAAGAAATCCACAAAAGAAATAAAAGACATTGAGAAAAAAAGAGTTGCTGCTCTGAAAAGACTTGAAGAGATTGAGCGTATATTAAATGGGGAATAAGTTCTTGGGTCACCTTAACGCTGAAAGATGATGGTATTTCCAATATTGTGTGTATTGAGTAAAAATGACCACTAGGTCCATATGAATTGGGAGAGAACAATGGAAGCATATCATTACTTTTTAAAAAAAGTATGAAAAGGCTGTTTCTGCTATGCAAGAAAAATAACCTGTTATGAAAATCATGGATTTCAATAAAGCGTTTCTGGGTAAGGAAGTGAGCATACCTGGTGCAGGAGTTTTCCACTGATAGAAATGGTAACTTTCATACTAAAGGTTGCTGTACTAAAGCAAGACTCACTGAACTCAGCAATGCTGGCTTCAGAGTAAAAGGTATTTCAGGTGGACCGTGCCTGCTAGTGTTTGGTTGCATTCTCAGAGAGAGATAAAATGCTAGACGGCAAATTTAAAGGTTGTTTCTAGACTGACTTTTCAAGGGACATTTTTCTGGTGGGAAGTGCTTTTGGGAGTGCAACTTTAGTTTGAATAATTCTCTTTATTTCAGTTTACATTTAAAATCATTGGTGTTTTTTTAGCTCTATATTATGCATCACCCTCACCTCTTCTCCTTAGCATCATTCATGTTTCACATGTCAAGATTTAGTAGTAGATACCATTCATGTTAGTTATGTGCATGCACACATTTCATAGTTTTTCAGCCTACAGAGATCACACTAATGTTCAGTGGGTCCCTAAATTGGGGGGATACATATATATATAAAACACTCCCATGCTTATTGACATCCTTTAGAGATTTATTAAGATACAGTGGTGTTATGTTTTATATAACAACTGTGGGTGCTTGTATATCAACTGTCAGTCAGCCTGCTATAAGGAATCACTGGATATGAAACCTCGGGGTTTATTTCTTTCTCAATATGTGTGGGAATTTTTGGCTTTTTTAAAAAATTGGCTTTTTAACAACTTTTGTTTCTAGTGGAGCAACACAAGGCACACCATATTTTGGTCTTTTCTTACGAATGGACTCTGTAGTATATTCAATGAAAGGAAAACTGACATTCTTTTACTATCACTGTAGTAGTGCTTTTAATTTTGGAATCTTCCACATAAATGTGACAGAACTGATTGTATGCAGTTAATCACATTTCTATTGTAGGTACTTTTTCAGGAAAAAATTGATGGTCACATCACATAATTCCTAAATTGTTGGAGTTTTTAATTTAAAATATTTATTCTGACTACTGCATTTCCAACTGGTTTCCACTAACATTTCCCAGAATGAGTTAATTCATATCTTATGTGAAATATGGTTGATAACCTCTACATTTTTACATCTGTGATTACACATATATATTTTTTTCTCTTTAAATATATTGCTGGATCCCTAAAATGTTTTTGTTTTCCTTTTACTGTTGGCTCTCTGAGTGACTTAAATCCTGGGAACTGAGGAAAAGTTTACACTGGCAAACATTTGTAGTCTTGTGTTCTTCTTTCTGAACTTCTAACATAATATATCTTAACATGAATTGCAGTTAGAAAAAGGTCCAAAGCAATCAAAATTGTTAAATAAAATGGGCCACAGTCCAGCAAGACCAGACAAGCAGAAAAGTTTGTGCATGTGAAAGCAGGACTTTTAGTTTTGTTACTTGGCCAAGTTTGATAAGGAATTTACGCAATCCTGTAGCCAGGAATTTTTCCAGGGGGACACAAATTAAATGATTAATTAATTAAAGAAACTCCAGGATCCATTTGGACTCCATGGCAACTCCCCCCCTTTTTTGGCACACTTTAAAGGGGCCCAGTGAGCCTGATGGCCCCGTGGCACCAGCTTACATCCATGGTGGGGGTGGCAGCCATGAGTCATGTGATGGGCACTGCTGGCCTTCCTGTCTTGGACAAAGAATCAGGCAGGCACACTGCCTCAAGCAGCTGGAGGACAAGTCCGGCTTCAAGCCTTATTCCAAAGGTGGCAGGGGAAACAGTGATCCACACAAAGAGGGCCACAGTGACATAAAGGGGATGGTGGAGGGGGGGAGATTGGGGTTCAGGCATTGAAGATTCAATAGGGGCACTGCCTGCCCCGCTCCTCTGGCTACAGGCCTGGATTTATGATACAATTCCAATTCTTAGCTGTGGGAGGAAAACAAAGGTGAAAGTCCCACTAGGCACTGTGGTTCCCTGGCATATAGCCATACAAATTCATATATTTCTCAATATGCAATTAATAATACCAGGATTCCATGGCAAGTATGGTTACTCTGACTTCTAATCTATATATCTAATAGTGAAGGCACCCCTTGCATGCAGATATCTAAATCCACACATTAGGGGCACCTGGGGGGCAGGGAGATTTTCCTGCACACTTGGGTCAGTCCCCAGGTGTGCACAAAAATCTAAAAAGTTGAAAAAAATGGGATACTTAAATCCCCCCAAAAGTAAAAGAGCCACTCTGGGAACTCTGTGGCGGGCTGATGGTTGGAAGCCACTCAGGCCTCGCCGCAGGAGCGGGGGGAGGGAGGAGGAGACCGCCGAAGCCAAGGGGCAGGAGGAGATTGGTGGTGGCGCTCTGCGGCGGACTGGCGGTCGGAAGTCGCTCAGGCCTCGCCGCAGGGGGCGGGGAGAAGGAGTTCAGCGAGGCCACTTGGGCCTCGCCACCAGAGCTGGGGGGGGGGGTGGAGACCGGGGGAGGGGTGGAAGAGATCTGCGAGGCCCGGAGGTTGGAAGCCGTTCGGGCATCGCTGCTGGAGCCGTGGCTGGGGAGGAGACCGAGGGAGGGGGGTGGAAGAGATTGGCGAGGCCTGGCAGCTGGAAGCCGGTAGGGCCTCGCTGCCGGGGGAGGGGGATGGAAGAGATCGGCGAGGCCTGAAATCTTTTGGGAGCAAGTCCCACACAAGCCATAAAACATGGCTAGACTGAGAGTGGTGATCTAATGAGGTCACTCAGTAAGCTGTGCGGCAGAGCAAGGATTTGAACAGTCCATTCTGTGTCTGCTCACTCTGTTTCAACACTTGCCTTCTGTTGCAAAAAAACTGTAGCAAATGGTTGTTATCAGCAGCTATACCACATGGAAATCAGTGACTCATGACTCTCCCTGCCATTCTGTTACCAGACACCTTATAGCAGAAACTCCTGGTGACTTAGATTAAAATTACATTGTTAGCCACAAGACAAATAAGACTTGAGCCCCAAAAGCCAAGCAGTAGCTTTCTGATCTGTGAACTAATCACTGACACAATGTTATTAAGAGACATGCAATAATACAGGAAAACTCTTTCTCAAAACTTCTAAGTAAGTTAGTATGAGCTGTTACACTCTCAAACAATAATAGGTCTGTTCTGATGTGCTCAGTAAAGCTTTTTCTTAGGACGAAAGACTACTAGAACAGAAAGCTAAGTGTACCAACAACAAAGTGTTTCAAGTTGTATAAACTAATTTGCAGTTAATCACTAGCCAGTGTTTTGTAGCTGTGGTTAATCTGGCATATTTTCATCATCATCATCATTATTATTATTATTGTTATTATTATTATTAAAATTTGTATCCCGCCCTCCCAGCCAGAGCTGGCTCGGGGCGGCTTATATAAAATAACATAAGAATTACAATAATATAAATTAAATTAAAATTAGGCAACATCAGTTAATACAAATAAACAGTGCTAAAACCGTAAAACATAATAAAGTGCTAGTTTCAATAGTTTCACAGCGGTATTGTTACTTGGTTCTCTCATCTCGCAGTCAGCTCCTTGGTCGTCTTCGAGCATCTTAGGCAGTAAGCTCAGGCTGTTGTTGGAGGTCCCAGGGAGACCGGGCTCTTCAACCATGGGCTGTCAGTTGTTAGTAGTGGTGGTGGCTCCAAAAGCCTGGCGGAAGAGCTCCATTTTACAGGCCCTGCGGAACTGCAAAAGGTCCCACAGGGCCCTAGTTTTTTCCAGGAGCTCATTCCACCAGATTGGAGCCACCACTGAGAAGGCCCTGGCCCTGGTTTTTGCAAGTCTGACCTCCTTGAGACTCTGGAGGACCAGCCGATTCTGGGTCCCTGATCGCAGCACTCTCTGGGGTACATATGGGGAAAGGTGGTCCCTCAGGTATGTAGGTTCCTGGCCATATATGGCTTTAAAAGTAAGAACCAGTACCTTGAAGTGAAACTGGTATGCTATAGGCAGCCAGTGCAATGTCTTAAGCTTTATTGTAGGTTTTTATATTATGCCTTTTAATCTGCATTGGAGTTGATCCCAGAAGCTTATTCTGAGAGGTTTCCTATGAGCCCCATACATATGGGCAGAGCTTTTTTTTTCTGGCAGAATGTGCCAGAACAGAGTTCCAAAACCTTTTCGTGGAAACAAAATTCTCAGAAAATGTGTAAAAGTTCATGAGGGGCACCAGGGGAGCATGATGTCACTTGTGACATCACAAAAATATTTTAAAAATTAAAAAAATAATAAAAAAAATAAGATTTAAACAAGGGGATGCCTGGTAGCAGCTGCCGGTGAGCAAGGAAGCAGCCAGACAGCGCAGGTGACTTGTTGCTCTCGCCAAGGGTGAGGCACAGGCTATGAGCCTGGGGAGAGTCTGGGGTGGGTTCAGGTGGGAGGGAGAAGATCAACTGGAGCCTACTGAACTGCAGCATGGCTTGGTTTGCAGCCCTGGCAGGCCCTAGCCAAAACTACTTGGCCACACACCCCGCCCACTCATCTCCTGTGCCGAGGCCCGTGTGGCCTTCGCAGGACGCTCCTTGCACACTCCTTGGCTGCCTCCTCCTGCAGAGCCTGAGCCACCTCTGTCCCCTCCTGCAGAGCCTGAGCCACCCCTTGCCAGCTCTGCCTCTCAGAGCAGCTCCTCCAGGGCAGCCAACTAGGCTGCCGCTGCTACCATTTTTACCTTCCAGGTTCTGGATTCCTACAGCCTCTGCTGCTCCCTCTTAGTAAGAGCTGCTCTGCAGCCGTAAGAGGTAAGAGTGATGACTGAGAACCATGAAAAGGTTTTTGGATTATTTTACTGAGGCTACAATGAAACATACAGCAACTGAAGGTTGTTCATCAGCATCAAGGGATTCATCTATCAATTCAGCTGGAATTTCAACTCCCAATAATTCAGGTTTGGAACTTCAGTCTCTGAAGTTAATGAAAGCTTCTGGCCCAGTTGTTGGACTGTACAGCAGAAGAATGAATTTGTGATTAAAAAAAACAGGTGGTTATTTTTTCATGATGGCAAGTTAGGTTGATCGTTGTGCAAAAATGTTGGACGCTTAGGCACAGAGAAGAATGTGGGTTTGTGGCTTTCTAAAAAATGGATAAATGGTGAGATAGCATCTTATGGTGAAAATAGGAAACAGCGAATAACATCTCTGAGGAAAAGATTTTTGACCATAAAGAAAGTGCAGGTCATAAAGCTGCAGGTAGAATAATTGAAGAAGGAAAAAAAGAAAAGCTTGAAATGGTATGTCTGAAGTCACTAGCAAGAGAGGAAGTCACCAATAAAATATTCTGTAGTGCATATAAGGTGGCTTTTAATAATTTTGAAGCTGAAATTGATTTACAAGACTGAATGGTATTGATATGGGGATATAGCACTCAGCTACTGCCTGTATAACTATTATAAAATCACATTGACAGTGAAATGAGAACTACATTAATCCAAAAGATTACTGATTCAAAGAGTGAAATCTCATTGATACACTATGAATCTACTACTGTGAGTCAGAAATCTGCCGTGTATATTTTGCACCTACAGTGAGGAAATAGACATGCATGAACCTGTAAATCTCTTCATTGGTTTGATGGAGCTGGAAGACGGAACAGCAAATGGAATATACAAAGTCTGATGTCTCATGTTGAGTCACTAGGGTTCACTGGCGAATTCTTAAAGGAAAATTTAGTTTCATTGACACGTGATAGTGCTGCAGTGATGCTGGAATCCCATGGAGGAGTTTCAAAACTTTTCAAAGCCAGATTCCCTGCCATTGTGTTGTGGCATTCTGCTAGCCATAGGCTGGAATTATCAGTATATGATGTTGTGAAAGAAGCTTCTGGCATCTACAGATT